ACCCTAAACCCTCGCTAAACCCTAAAACCTTACAGTACAGTTCGTGAGGTTAGTCCTGATGCACTGTGTACAATGTCAGGTGGCGATGTACCCCCCGCGATCCTGGAGAAGGCCAAGATCGCCCAGAAGAGCATCTTAATTGCACTAGAGTGTGGCAGTGCAATGTGTCAGAGCACCCATATATAGCATGTCTATGCTCGCTTTCAGATCGGAAATACGGCGAGCTTCTGACTCTCTTTGCTGAATGCGGGGAGAATTGGGCTGAATGCAAGATCAGTTCTACAACCTCTACCGATGATGCGACATCTGTTCAGGGCGGACAGATCTACAAACGATACAAGGATCTGGTTGCCGAACACGGAAAGGAGAACGCAGACCGACTTAGGGCGGAGAAGAAAGCCAAGCAAGCTGCCCTCGGCAATGCCTACGAAAATGTGCCGTGGTGGTACACCCACCCAGATTTCGCAGACCTGGAGGAGACCCACCTGAATACACCTATAAGCTAATTAGGTCGCGGGTTAATGATCCAACATTTACAATTGCAATGCAAAATTGCTGTGGCCAGGACTACGAATTGTATTTGGTATGGGACGAAGCCAAAGTGTGTACGACTGCAACCCACCGGACCCACAATGAAGTGAAGCACGGCATCACTGGTGATGGAAGCCTTGCTAAGGAACTCCTGTGTCTCGCCTTGCAATGAGCCGTTAAGACCCACCCCAAATCATGTACTGTTAAATCCGTCCAAGTGTCTCGATGGTACCATGATGCAGATCTTGCTGGTGTGCCTTTGTTTAACTTTGAAATGGTTAGATTAATATTGTTTGAGCGATGATGCTAGTGGCTTCAGGTGTGTGTGGGGAACCCAAAACCCTAAAACCCTAAACCCTAAACCCTAACGAGTACTGCATGGGGTTGCTTCGCCTTCAGGCTCCAAGTCGAAACTATATAGCTAGGGACCTACATAGCATAGGTGCTTACTGGGATGGGTCGCACTGGGCTTTGTTGGGATGTGGCTAGCTGTCCACTGCAGTTGGGATTCAGATCACCCCGATATTCGAGTTCACGCGAATGGGTCGATCGAGATGTAGCTACGTAAATTATACCATAGTTTATCTCTCGACGATCATCAATTATAATTATTATATATTATAATAGCAAGCGGCATACATATCAAGCTAGTCGGGGATCTGCTTGCTGCCTAAGTCTAGATCTAGGATCTGTTAAGTTTAAGCCCTACACACAAGCCACGAAACAGTAATGTGATCTCGTAGATGAATATTTAAACAACCCTAGGCCCATACAAAACAACCCAATATTGTTAAAACTCCTGGAGCTTATATAGATGCAGTTCCAAGGTCCGCAATGCCGCCACAAGGTGTGGATCCAAGTGGCAGAGCTCTCAAGGCCACCCAGTCGCGAGAGAGCCTTGGCGATCGCGAAGGTAAAACAAGGAAGGATCCTCCCAACCCAGCCAAACCCAAGAAACCAGCAGCCTACACAGGGAAGGCGAACGCGAAGCTAAACTCTGGAAGATCGGCTGTGACGGATGCAAAGTTTTGGGTGCAGAAGATTACAGACGACCAAGCTTTGCCAATACCTGCAGCACGCAAAATGACACTTGGTTGAATATAAATTAGATTGTATTATAATTTAGGGTTTAGGCTGTAGGGTTTAGGGCTTAGGGTTTAGGAATTAATAGATCGACTGATTCCGAAATAATAGGGCGTCCCCTGTACAATAACTAGATAGCTTAGCTAGTATACTATATATTAAACCCTAAACCCCAAAACTCCCGAACCCCAAACCGGTAGATGTACAGTGCTGCATACCCAGGCCATCCCAGCTGGCCGATGGCTATATTTCGCAAATCCAGCACTACCGGACACCTGTGGATGCTGCCATCGAAGCTCTCGACTGGAAGATGATCTCGGGCTTTAAGGATGAGGCTACATTGGATCCGCTTGCAAAGAAGCTGGATAAGGCTATCGAGGACTACAACAATGCCTTGAAACCGGTGAAAGCCTTGTTCGCTGCTTGACTCAATCATTTGTGGTGTGAGTCTCACGGCCGGAGCTGTTGGATTGTGTAAATAATGATCTGAGGCAGAGCCTGTCGCGAAGAAGACTGCTGCCAAGAAGCCGAAGAGCACAAAGAAGTGAGTGACGTGGGCCACTCCTGAAGAGTTATGATACCAATCTCTGTGTGCGTGTGAGATATCACATGCATCTAGCTAGGCTTCACCTCATTGGTCATGTGGCCGACGGCTATAACCGTGTCTTGCACCTTCCAGTTTTAGGGTCATGTCTACATGCATATGTTATAAGTACTTCGTGTGTTATTCGGACTAGCTAGCATGGGTGTCGCTGTAATCTATAGCTAGATCTTAATTCTTGTGTTTGACGACATGCATGTACATGTTCGAATTCTACACACTTCTATGCCGTCGGTTAGTGGCCCTAGTGCTGAGGCGAATGCCCAATTACGTGGGTTGCAACTCGGGAAATCCGAAACAGGTGAGGGTCCATGAGATCCTTATCTGTCTCATGCACATGTGAGACATGTGGGCAGATGCCTGCTGGGTGTGCGGGAATCCTGCACTCGACCCTGGCATTAATCTGAAAATCCTCGACCTTTCATGCTCAACCACATATGCAAACATGCATTGTACATTTATACTGCTCTGTAGAGGCAGAACACGCCCCACGCAGGCCGAACTCATGATCGCTCTGGCCGTGGATGCTTATCCCAGTGCTTACACTCGATGATCACATCAGGGGACGGGCATGCTACAGTTGCAAGCTAAGTGTACACGAATCCGGAGTTTGCATTCGCGATCGGTTCCAGTAGATTCTGTCAATGCAGGAGATCAGTTATGCTTCGGCGCAACGGGTGGCTCATGCTGCAGTGGAGGACTCCAGTCAGTTAAAAGGGGTTCTGCCATGACGGATGCAGAACCAGAAACCAAAAGCCCTCAACCCTAAACCCAAACCTAAACCCCTAAACTAAACTCTAAAACCCGAAACCCTGAAGTCGTAAGCCCATATCATCTGTTAAATTCTATATAGCCCTTGACGATAATTGCAAGCTTTGAAGTCCGAAGTTTCAGTGATTCCAAACCCTCGATGCCGGCAGGTTGCGATATTATAATTCCATAAAAATCAACTCATAATCCCATCTCCAGGACTTCGATGACCGCAACATCCAGCCTGACAGGCCGCTGGCTGCTATGGCTAATGCTGGAGCAGAAGGTCGCCACACGTCCAATATAGAGAGGGATGTTCTGAGACGAGAAGGCCCGTGCCAAGCCTGACTCCCAGTTCTTGATACTGTGCAATCTGGTGCTCTAGGTCTGCTTAGTTGGCCATGGTTTTGTAGAACCTCAGGTGCCCATACGAACAGTGTTGGTGCCTCTTCGAAAGCACCAGAAAGGAGTCTGGAAGACGGAGCAAAAGATGCTTGCCCACAAACCTTTACTAGTTGGTTTTCTTTTTTATAACCTCTTGGGCCCATAACCTTAAAAAATAAGGCTGATGCCGGTGGTTCTTCCACACGACGTCCTACATGCCTTACATGTATGTGGACGGCTACGGGGGCTGTACACAGACGAGGATCTCTGTGAATTCTGGGACAACTTCAAGCAACATGAAAGCTCTGTTGTGCAGTGGCCTGCAAAGGCAGAACGGGGAATGCTCCCCATCGGCATTCATGGCGACGACTTCCGCTACACGGAGCACGGCCAAAAGCTGGTACTGGTGTCACTGAATGTATTGGTCGATAACAAGATGCAGGACCGCTTCCCGTTGTTTGCTGTTCGCTGTGCGGCTAGGCTTCAGTACTTGCCCCCAGTGCAAGGGTTTAGGAACTTAGGCTTCGGATGGTAGATACTATATATTTTTTATTTGGGATCCGGACTGTTAATTGAATTAATATCTAGAGGTATGTGTACCCTTAGGGCTAGAGGCTTGAGGCTTGATCGTGCATAAGCTTTTGATTGAAGCAGTGTCGTCGTGCTGGTACACCTATATCATGATCAATATACACTGGTCTAGGATCTATTCTATTCGAATATCGCTCTTAAACCATCCTGGTACAAGCCAGCCTGCAGATCAGTGGTCATGACAGCCAAGGCCTTAAGCACCGGCTTTCCGACGCTGCAAGCTTTTATGGCCCCTGCTTCCAGGCCCAAATTTACACTGTAGGCATGCCTATGTGCTTGTCTAGTTTTGGGCTTAGCTGCTAGAGTCTAGAGAGGTCGAGGGTACATCATGATATTGGAAAGCTAAGATTGCCGCATCTTTCAATTACTGCTGCTTGGGAGTGGCCCCGATGTACCTGGACCCGAACAACATGAGACCGGAACTGGTGGAGCAATCAGCTGCTGATGTACCGGGTGAGAAACTTGAGTTCCCGAGAGCTTACTTTTCAGAAGTGCGATCGGACTGGAAGTTCATGAAGGACAACGGGGACATGGGCTAGCTTTTCTGACATTTCACTTTAAATGCAGCTGCAGGAACTGCTAAACTTGTCTGCAGCCTGGAACTGCAAATCCCTTTGTCATCATTGTCAAGCCAAAGATTGTGACTACCTGAAGTTTCCTTCCCAACTACGGTTTCGTCCTCGACGAGGGTGGCAGGACTTCGTTTCGATTTGCAAACCCTACCAGGGTGTGCGAAGTGCCCTGTCTATAAGCTTGTGTTGTTTCGACTCTGCAAATTTATAAAGCACCTAAGCGAGGCCATGTCTTGGGGATCAGGGGATTTCATCACTCAGCTCTTCGATGGTGTACCATGCATACCATCAACCTTGGCATTTGCCACTGGACCGTGGCATCGGTGCTCATCGTGCTTTTGAGGGTGGAGGACAACTCGGGCTTGGTGATATGTCATAATAATAATAACACAAGTGACCTGTATAATCTTATTCAAGCCACAGGACATCTGGCCGGCTCCCGCGAGAACTCTGGCAAAGGACAAGACGAATGTTCGTTTGTCCATCGCCCACTCGGAGTTCATGGAATGGAGTCGGGCGAACAAGATCGAGCATCCTGCTACAATTATGTGTTTGCCCACATGTGCATCATGAGCATAAAGATCACCAGGCACTCTCAGCCCGAGTTCCAAGCACGAAACCTTCGGGATGCAATGACGGGCTATGCAGAGATGAGCATGAAGGCCCACAACGCCCCTCAGCTTGCACGATACGGCAATTAATTTAATATGTGTACATGTGTATCATGTGCCACACATGCTGTCATCCTAGGCTCGTGTTGTGACGGGATGGTTGTGCCATCTACTGCTGGAGCTACACAGCTCCCGCGCTCGTTTTCGAGATGACCCAGATCTGTCTGAAATGGTGAAAACAGTGCAACATTGCTGCAGCTATGATGGTTTGATCAATACAAGTTATAATTAATTAGCTTTAATGGTCTCAAGCTTTTTAGGGTGGGCTACAGTTGGGTCGACTTAATACCCTGGTAATGCGAGGTACTGGCTCAACGAGTTTTTCAATCGGATGGAAAAGCACGGGCGGTTTCTCGACACAGCTGCCAAAGTGGAGCTCGAAGATGCATGTGAATCTTGGCACAGGTTTTTCTGATCTATTGCATTGTGCACACGTGCTAACATGCAGACATGTTTGCACCCTAGGACGCCATGTGCATGAGTTATGCTACCCTTGCGACTCTGGCAAGCCAAAAGTCCGATCGACTGTGGCCATTGCGGCCAAAACACCATGCGGCTTTCTGGCACATACGTCTTGTCAAGCATGTGTTTTTTTACATGGCATTTTTTACTACATGATCTGAGGCATTTCAGGAAGCGGTTTTCATGGCCGCGATGGACGGCACCATGGTGGTATAAAGCTTGCAAGCAATAGCTCCAAACTTATGCATTTAAATTTGCCAAGGCCAGAACCCAAAGTATGGGCATACTTTTCGCGACGAGGGGTATATGGGTGCAGCGAAAGGCCGGCTGATCAAAGAAATTTCATCGTCTGATCCACTCGAACTCATGATCCCTGTGTGGCAGCTATCGCACGGAAATGCCACCGATCTAATTTGGAGATGAGTTTTCTTCGACGAGCTTACGGTGAGTGGCTCGGCAGCATTATGCGACTCCGCAAAGCTGTTATTATGATTTCATGTCATTGCAAAACGATATAAGGTTCCCGAACATGCCCTGATCATGATCGTCGATCGAGCTCAGCAGCAAAACGATGACCGAGCGGTTTCGACTGTCCCAAACTTCCTAATAAAGTATGCAGGGGTTTAGATCTTAACCATATCATAATTTATGTACATATATATATATATTTATTTATATATATATAACATTAACATGACCAATCTTACTCAGAATGGACTCAGAGTCCATACTTTCATCCAGCATGGATTCTCTTTTTGAGTTCTCATATGTTAACTACTTTGGACCCACTGGGATCATTCTGATACACTGATACACTGATACAACCATTGCACCATCGCAGCCCTTTACATCGTGCATGCTAATTGCTACGAAGCTCACAAGTGTACATTGAAGCATGCAGTGCAATGCAGTGTCTCGTGCAGTAGCATGCCCAATGCCCGTGCACGTGCCATGCACTTAACATGCCCTGCACCATGTCAGACGAGACACAGATGTAGTAGTGGTAGCATCATCGGAACCAGGCGGCTTCGACCGGCGCGGAGGTGGCACCACCCGTGGTCTGTGAACTCGGTGAACGGGGGGAAGTGGCGTCGGGTAGTCGAAGGCAGTCCGCTTCTCCGGAGCCGGCGGCTTCGGAGGTGGAGGTGGCGTTGGTGGCGGCTGAGGTGGTGTCGGAGGCATAGGACATGGCTGCTGCGACTGCTCCTGTAGGTGTGGAGGCGGTGGCGTTGAAGGTGGCCGCGGCTGCGGCTTGACCTTCGGCTCAGTCGAGGCCGCCTTGGAGAGATCTTCTGCAGGTGTAGACGGCTCAGAGTGCTTCGAAGGCGGAGACGACGAATCCAGCGGCGGTGGACGCGGAGGAGGTGGATGCACCCAGCCTTCGTCATCAACCCACACCGTGACTGGTCGTAGAGGACCACAAGCTGGCCGAGACGAGCCTGACGCCGGCCGCATATTCGTCGGCATACCCATGTATGGCCTGTGCATAGTAGGCGGCAGAGGCGGCAGTCCCCGGCTTGGCGGACCCGGGAAAGGACACAGAAAGCCACCAGGCGGGCCGTACGGCGCCGGCGGTGGCACCGCCAGCCACGGCGGCTGCGCGCTACCAGCTTCTGGCCGCGAGGTAGGGCGAGCTTTTGCAGGGGCTCGGGCTGAAGGTCGCGGCATCTGTGGCGGTGGAGTCGGAGCGGCGGGAGGCGGGGGTGGGGCAGGCCACCATGCCCCAGGCGCAGGCTCCGCCGGCTTGGTGCTGGCATGCCAATCCTCAGCTGGGCCATCCCTTTCATCCGAACCAGCAGCAGGGTCAGCACCGGCACCCGCATCATTCGCCGCATCCGCTGCGGCAGGAGGAACTGCTTTCGTTTGCAACTTCAGCCGCGGATGGCTCTGCTTCTGCACTGGTGCCGCTTGCGGCACCAGCGGAGGCTCCGGCTCCATCTCCTCACCGTCCGGACCCTCACCCATGGCCACGAAAGCCACCCTAACACTCAGTTCTGACCGGAAGTCACTGAGTGTGTGTGTGTGTGAGTGTGTGCAAGTGCAGTGCTCAAGTGCAGCGACACACTGTACCACAGTCACTGGCACTCACTGGATCCACGTGACACTGACATGATTGACATGTGCGAACCCCGATGCTTCGCTGCTGCAGCTGGCTGGCAGGGCAATTGACACTTGCATTCAGTCACAATTCAAGGGCAAACGCATCATTACACGTGGACATGGGCATTTCATGGGCTCATGGCTCGGATCAGAAGCATGAGGCTCATGAGACTTACGACTCAGAATGCATGCTGCCACAATAAATGCAAATGCCACTGCCTGCTCACAAGTCAATCGAGGCTCAATCGCTGCCGAGAATCTCTGACTGATAAAACCCAGCATCGGTTCGTATCACTCCATCAGCGGCACTCCTCAAGACAAACAATTGCGGCATTGCAGCACACATGCCAGTCATGCCAGCCAACACCACAATATAAAACGTCAGCCCAAGCCATATACATTATTATGTCATGTCAAGCACAAACATTAAACCCTTTGTGCTACCGCTACAGGCCGCTACAGGCTACAGGCTGCGGCTACAGCGGCTAGAGGCGGCACAAGTCCGGCGCAAGACTTCTTCTGCAGGATCTTATGGCAAAGCTGTCGGAAGATCTCATCGGACAGTTGTGGTTGGGGCATGGCAGGAGATCTTGATGTGACAGACATTCCCAAACACAGCCAAACACAGCAGCAGCTTCATTGAACACATGCAAGACTGCCACTACGCACGTTCACGGCCCAGTTCACGGCTCACAACTTCGTCACATCAGAGCACCCCTGTGCACCCCGCACACCACTCATGTTGCAAGTCAGGGCAGCGCGACAAACCAAAAATAAATAGTGTCGAGAGGCCGTGGACGTGGGCCATCGGCTGTCGTGGATCATCCAATGGAACCTTGAAGCGAAAGAACCCACTGTGCTGAACTGCAGTGCGATTGGGCAACTTTCGTGCTGCTGTTATACTTGTGACGAAATGCACTGTGCATTAACGCTCATATGTGGCACATGTGTCACGATGTCACCTGTCACTGTCACAGTCACATTCGTCTTCTGGAACCATGCATGCGGGCAACTCATGTGACTCATGTGTAATTCTCAAGCAAGACCTAACTAATCACCGTAATCACCCGAGTCGGTCCTGGCAATCCCGGAATCCAACTTGGCCCTTCGAAATACAAATCCCAAACACACAGCTGCCATTCGCATCGCTACGGTGACTGAGTCGCTGACTGAGTTCAGCTTGCGGCCGAGATAGCAGCTGGCGGCACGCACCGCACATCCTGTTCTGAGCTGAGGTTGAACTGTCGCATCCAGGAGCCCACTCCGGACATTATACCGCCGCATACATCAATATATCATATTGATATATGTATCTGAATGTATCTGAATATATTCATGACACATGACACATGACCGTGGCCACAACATGTCACGCTGTCATACCAGGCAGTAGATTTCATGAGAGCCTGCGAAGCAGAGTGTACCTCAATACTCTGCCCCTTGATTCTCCTACACAGACACACGCTGATGCACTCCCCGATCTCTCGCACATGCAGACGCGCACTCACTCGTGATTCACGGATTCATGGATTCATGAACTCAGGACTCATGACTGATGTGTCACTCATGACTGTTATGACTGTCTCATGTGCAACGCAGTCCTGGGCGAACGCGAAAACAAGGGCTGCTCTTTCGAATGGAAGTCGTGTGCTGCGCAGCCCAATGTTCCAGACATCCACTGAGGTAGCCTATGCAAACTACGCAAGCCTTCGACCAGGTCTTGCGGTGCGTCGCTTGCATCCACAGCTGACGAAAGCTGATGCCCACAAGCCTCGTGCCAGTGAAGTAAACAAAGGGGACACAGGCCACCGCCAGGACCACCTGTTGCAGCCTTCTTGCAAAACTGACAGGTAGTTTCTGATCTCCGTTTCCACTGCCGACTGTGGACATCCTCCTGACACTCGCTGAACCACACCAAACTCACAAGAGACACTGGCAGACACTGACATCTCACATAGCATCACATGACAATTCATGACGACAAGAATGCATTACTACTACCTGTGCACATGTCATGTCATAATGTCATGACAACCAGAGCCACATGCATTCACATGCATAGTATCACAGTATCAGTATCAGTGTCAACGTCAACTGACAACTGACTATTCCATATATTTTGATCTCATATAATGAGACCACGAGATCGCTTCATCCAGCAACTACTTTTCAAAAGATATACCTGATATCTTGATATGCCTGATATATACCACGAAGACAATATATCTGTCCATAAAACACAATATCCAGCTAATATCCAGTATCCCATGAATATCCAAGGTCCAAAGTGTATGTGTATGCTGTATGCTGTATACGTAAACACTGCACAGCACAGACTACACAGCTCCTGATTCGCATACGTCATCAACACTTGCGCGAAGGCACGGAAACGAACCACAGGAAGTGGCAGCTCATCACGCAGCCCTCCATGCTGTCGTTTGTACTTGCGACTGCATGCTCCAACTGCATTCACCAAGTAATCGTATTCCGCAGGCAAGACACGCGTTGGAACAGGTTTACCAAACATGGAAGCTGGACAAAAGACCACCCTGTTGTCTGTGTCTATTCGTACCAACCTGCCGACACGCTCTGTCACGTCAGCCCATTTGACAAAGAGCAATTCACCTGGCTGTTCCGGCTTCCCACCCCCTGCAGGCACACCACGGGGCTTGCGGGCCAGAAGCGATATCTCATCGTTGGAGCCAACATCTTGCAAACAACGAGCCTGTGCATCCTTGATAGCCGCCCATGTCTG